CTTGTTCGCGACTCGCTCGCTCGGCCGTTCGAGGTATTAATTAAGGCGGCGAACGAAGACGGAGGAGATATTAACGCGTGGGATATTCTGATTTTAATTTACGACCCCGGAACAGCGTACCCGTTATCCGTGCACCGTTGATCAATGGACCGACTCGCGCGGGGAGGGGGGGGTGTAGGGGCAATATCATTTATTCACGGGAAACAAACTATTAGGGTGAACTCACACGGTACGGGAATCTGCGTGCAGGACAGTGGATGCGTGATTCGAACAGCCAATCAGCGCGGGATAGAAAAATGCGGAAGAGTGCTGATTGGCTCTTCCGCATTTTTCTATCCCGCGCTGATTGGCTGTTCGAATCACGCATCCACTGTCCCGCACGCAGATTCCCGTACCGTGTGAGTTCACCCTTAGTTCTCGCGAGTTGGTCCAACCGCGAGAGTAGCATCAAAACTGCAATTGCGGTGTTTGCGCCGCCTCCGATGCTCTCGGCGAACACGACGCGCGCGTTCGGCTCGCGTACAGCGAGCTCCAATTACAAATCCAGCTATTAAAGCGAGCGAGTCATAGGAACGAAACGACGCCTGCGATACGGTACGATACGACACGCGGGTTATACAAAGGCAATTCGAGTCGTAAACGCACCCGTCGGGGACGCGTTACATATTCCTGCGCTCGTACGAGGTGTCGGTTGCTATAGTCCGATGGAATAGCTAACGCGGCCACAGCCGCATTGGAATTCCCGAGAGCCGAGTTCCCGAGCCGTGTGTCGCGCGGTGGAGTAAATTTTGATTCATCGGCTCTTCGTTTCCGAGAACGCCCCAGTGTTGACTCCGAAGTCAAGCTGTTACGCAAGAGACTCGGGAATTTAAGTTATTGCCGCTTGAAGCGTCATTCTTATCGTTTCAAGCAGTTCTCGTCTGCGGGTTTGATTTTACGCGTAGATAATGCGTCCGCGTGACTGTGAATCAGCCTCGCTTTCATCATTCACGATGTGCGATCGATCGGCGAGGCAGAATTTACTTCTGGGACGACGTACCCGAGCCGGGGTCCGGGGATCTCTTCGGGATGGCGGCAATCGGGTCGGCGAGCCACGCCGCTCCGATTTGACGGCCCCCCTTCACGAGCGCGTCGGACGCGCAAGAAGTTCGGACGTCGGGGGGCCATAGGGGACGGCGAGCTATGGGAGGACGATCGCCAAGGGTGACCGCTACACCGGCGCAAAGAGCACGAAGTGGCCGCGCGGAGGAGGACGAGGGGGCAAGAGCTGGCGAACGTCGAAGGTGGGACTTTGACCGGCCATTGGCCCCGGCCGAGTACAAGCCGCCGGCAGAACGAACGAGTCCTCGAAAGAAAGGGTTCCTGTCCTCGCCCGTCCACGTCGACGCTCAACGTCTACGTTGCGCGGCCGCGCGCGCGTACGGCGAGCGAGCGCCACAGTTGGTCCCCATCGTCCGGCTCGACCGGCATGCCGTGCCGCCGCAGCGATTTCGAATCCGTCCCAGGGGCGGATCTGCGAGACCAGAGGCAGACTTGGGTCTGGAACGCGCGCTCGCGTCCGGGTCTCTCTAAAGCCTAGTCTACAATGTGCTCTCTGCGTCTACAAACATTCTATTTTGTAGAAATAAATTTAACAAATTTGCCGACAATGTAGTGTTTATCCACCTGTACAAGCTTTTCAAACGTATTTATTGACCACAAAATAGAAAGTTTCTAGACACAAAGAGCACATTGTAGATTAAGCTTAAGGATGTTCTGGCGCTAACGTTATAACATCGAGAATACGTTGAAAATTGTATGGGTTGTTTGAACTTATTATCTGAATACGCGTGTAAAATCTGAAGCCGATTCCCTAATCGGTTCACGAGTTATTTTAACGTTTTATTTTGCACGAGTTCTTACGGAGTAGCAGCGCATTTCCATTTATATAAACGATCAAATTAGGAAGAAACATCATTGACGATATTTGGAAAACTTTTTGTGAGTAAATAAAATACCGAGAAACGTTTCTGAAAAAAGTTCATGTCGATTCGCTAACTCGTTATCGAGTTATTAATTAAAGACCAATGCAAAACTCTGGAAACGGGTTGTGGTACACACATCGGCTGCCAACTTATAGTCGTTTCCGGATGAAATTCACGTCCAAAAGTTTTTTGCCGACGATCACAAAATTGACAAAATATGCAAATATATTCGTTTGGTACGCCACATATCATATTAACTGGCCTTTTAAACGAAACGAGCACGTGCAGTGCATATCTTAACCATCGAAAGCTCAGAATTTCATCGATTTCAAATTCAAGTAACTTTTATCTGGGATTGTATAGCCAGAACATCCTTAAGGCCTGTTATACAATACGCTCCGACTGCGACACACGACGTATTGTATAACAGGCCTACTCTGGGAAAAAGAGACAGTTAAGCAATCCATTTTGGGGCCCACAATTAGTAATCGAATTATTTGGATTGTTCGTAAAGGTACCCATACACGTTCCGGAAATCCTCTGAGGAAAAACTGTGCAGTCCTGGCCTTCGGGATTTCCGGAGCGTGTGTAGTAGAAAACTGCCCCCTTTTTTGTAGCCACTCTTTGGACCATATTTTTCTGACACGTTTTTTCTTGCGATTTCTATTCAGAATGCACTGTCTTGCCAATACAAAACCAACAAGAGCCAAACTATCGTCCGTCGCGTCCATTGCTCACTAGCAAACTGAAAGTTATTTCGGAGCGTGTGTGCGCGAGGGTTCGTTCAGGCAATCCCGAAGGCCAGGACTGCACAGTTTTTCCTCAGAAAATTTCCGGAACGTGTATGGGTACCTTTACACGCTCTACTCTGGGAAAAATTTTAACCGTCTTCTTGTAGTTAAGCAACTTAACGTTTCGGTTAGTGCCTCTTAAGTGAAAATTGTCTTTGCGTTACTGAATATCGGTGGAACTAATCGAGAGAATTGATTAGTATTACTAAAAAATCTTGGATATAGATAGAATAGCTTATAATTGCGATTTTGGGTTACGCGAGATAAAATTCGCAAAAGATTAGAATTACGAACAATCTACATAAAATGGGTTGCTATCTTTTTTTCCCAAAGAGGGTAACGGTGCAGGGCAGGTTGGAAAAACGGTATATGAATTCACATCTTGCTCCGACCTAAAAATTTGACAACGTCAGTGTTTTCTTGACCATACCTGGCATCTTTAATAATACAGAAAATTTATTGCGAAAAATATTACCTCAGCCAGGGCAGACGTTGTTAATTACCGCTGGCTGCGTTGAAAACTTCTAATTAGATTGTTAACTAAAAAATTTACTTGGCGCTCTCGTTTCCTCGAAAAAAAAAATTTTCCGCGACGACGGAGTCGCGTAAGAGCGCTACCGCCGTATGGCGAAATGCTATTTCTTTTCTCTGCGAAGAGTCAAGACGCGTCGCGACAGTTAACATGCCCGTACAAATTACCGCGAATTGGAGGCACCGAAGAAAGCGCTTAACGAGTTTGTTTAGCGACTCCTTTAGCGATAAGTCGTTATGATGTTAGACATATATGTATCTTCTACATGCCGCAGCGAAAATGTTTGGCGACCCGCTAGAATAACTCTTAATAAGTAAAAGTTGTACAAAAAAGACGTTACACAATATTTTAACTTTAACTTAATTTTTCTATCATTCGTTAATTTATTGATAATTATTTCAATTAATTGACCGTCGAAAGATTTCACGGGATAAACCAGCTCAAAGATGTTTATCAATTTTTTTAAATTTCATGTCGTGTGAAACCAGAACGCTGGCGCGTGCTTCTTCCCGCGTTTTAAAAAATCATCGGCCTCATACTCTGAAACGTGACGATCCGCTCCTGTCGGCACTCACCTGTAATTTGTGAGCGATTCGCTGTCTTGCGAGAGCTCATTATAGACCGAATGAATATTAACGGCGCTATATTTTGCGTGTCTAGCGGGTTTATGGAGCCTTTTAAAACAACGATTATACATATATAAAACGTTCTTTAAATATATTGATGGGCAAAGTAGTTTGTGCAGGAAGGAATCCACAATAACTCAATCATACTCTCACATGTTGCTTCTGAATGATAATAAATCTATTTTTTCGTGGAAATAATTATAGAATGTCTCATTTGAGAGATATATTATATTTGGGATGATACCTCATGCACGTAATACATGCTTGCAGGTACCCAAGGAGAAATGAAAATCAAGATGACGTCATCTTGACTTTTCATTTCTCCTTGAGTAAGCAACATAAAATAATAATTATTTTTCACGAATTGAGATTCCGCGAGTCACAACGCAAACATTGTCTTTTATACGTAAGAAACTCGCACACCTATTTTTACGGCGCCATATATTATAGAATTAAAAATTCGTCATTCCAAAATCACTAAATATGCAAATTTTTAATATTTATGCGACGCTAACTCTCGGCACGTCAGAAATAATTGCATAAATATTTAAGACTGTTTTAATAAACAATTAATAAACAATAAGTAATAAATATTACCAGGCAATAAGTGATAAATAGTACTAGACAAGTATTAATGAGTAATAAAAAAAGTGGTTTAATCACTTTTTCTAAATGAATAAATCTTCTTTAATAAAGAAGAGTTCCACGTGTCGCTTATTTAATCCCCCGTCCGCAACCAGTTTCACTGCAATCTTTCAATTTCGCGAAAAGAGTTGTCGCTTTGAAAAAAGAAATATTTGTTCCTCGCAAACACTCTTCCTGGTGAAATGCATTGTCGAATTATTCGTAGCTCTGTTCAAGGGTTCACGATGATAGGTCACAACAACTGGGTCATAGGTCGCTGTCTCATCCACGCTGTTCGCTAGGGGATTGTGAAAATAGTGAATCAATATTACAGACTCATTTCTTTGACCAGCGGTTACGATCGTCTTCTCGCGTTAGCTTCGCGCTATCTACTCTTATCTGCAGCGAATGGAACGTTTTAATAATAATAATACTGTCTCTCTCGATAATACCAAGTTTTGTAGAATGTCTTAGGGTGGTGCGCAATCAGCGCTTCTGATAACGCTCGTCAGATTGATGTTGCTTTCGAGTTTTCATTAGTACATCCTCGATCGGTACTCCATGTGGATTTCGAAGCGTCGCGCGTCTGCATTTTGCACGCGAAATTTCTCGAATATCTCGGCAGCTGCGAGAACCGTATGCGAAAGTTCGCGCTTGTATCAGCTGACGCGAAGTAGTTCGTAACTTCGCAAGTTAATTGTACTCGGACAACGCGAACGACTTCCTTAACTTCGCTCCCGGAAGAGGCTTGGAGAACCGGCCAGCATGGCGCCGCCCAGCACCGTGTTCGCCGCCTTGTCGATCCTCAAAGACCATGTCAATTTCAAAGTCAATCAGAACTCGGTAGCCATTGACAATATCGGTAACATATATCTCGATTCTAACACCTATATGTGCTTTCTATGTCATAATTATCTCTGGTATTTGGCACAATTAAAGCTGACGATGTACGATTGGAACAACGTTACTTATCGCGTAACTTACTAATTAAATCGCATGAATTTAATTGTCGATTGGTTATCTGGTCTTTTACGTAACGCGCCTACTTAAACACTTAATATAGTATTAGATAAGTAGAAAAAAAAGACGTTAACATGTGGTATTACACAGAAAAAAATAAGTGTCAAATCAAAACTTATGTACTCAAAATAATATTTATTTTTAAGTAGTGTCCTCTATTATGAGATAGGCTCCTAATATGAGACAATGGACGTTTTCAACATCCAATATTTCACAAATCTTTTTTCGCAACGATTACACGCACGATCTAACAATAAATTTTCCACTAAACAGAGATTTCACTCCAAGGGCAACAGGTTCATGGTGGAACCAACAGACGACGCCTTGTTAGCTTAGCAGAAACTCCGTTATCTCATATTAGGAGCCATTTCATAATAGACGACTCTTATCTATATAAGTTTCTTTTATACGCGAAAATTCTATAATCTTCTTAAAAGTATCTAATAATCTTAAATTTCAATAATGTTACACTCTTATTTAAATACTGAAATACTACAATCTTTGATTTAAAAATATGTTGTTTCTATTCAACATTGTTGCTTTCCAGTCAAGGAAATTATTCTTAAATAATAAGAATATATTTTTCTTGGTTGAACTGTACAAAAATGGCGTCATTCAAGCAAGTTTTCTTTGTTTAACGCAATATAACCTTATTTCAAGATTTTCTACGTTGAAACTTTGAAAGACATTCTCGAGACAGAATGTTCTTTTTCCTGTGATAAATAAGTGAAAAGATACACACACATATATATACATGAATGTGCGCTTAGTTTTCAGATTACATTACAGAATTACAGTCTTGATGCTTCTCGTTGCGTCCATTCTAGTCACCTCCAGACAATTTTTCGGAGAACACATAAGGTATACATGTGGAGATTATATAATTTTCTTAATTGTTCTAAATTGCTTATAGCTATATCTTAGATTCTAGCAACATAATGTCGTTCCCTAACATGAATTCTTGTTATTTTGAAAAGATGTATCGCTGACATTACTGTATCGAACAACAAAGTCATCGAGACCTATTGCTTTTTCATGTCGACTTTCACCGTGGTAAGTCTAAAACTTGGACGAAAATTAACGATGTGACTCTACTGATTCCATATCGTTAATAAAGTGAATTCACTTTACTAATTACTTAATTTATCTGCTGCGCGTTTGTTGTGTTGCAACTAAAAGAAAATAAAACAGTCCAAATAAAGTTGTCACGCCAGGAATACTATCGTCAAAGAGCTTCTTTTTCCACGTATGAAAAGTTAAAAGCCGGGATACAATTGCTTCCGGCTGTCTATTGTCAGCTGATTTACTCTCCAGGTGAAGCATCTGAACGCTACCGCGGTGCTGGAGGGCGATATAGCGCATCCCGGCGTCGGACCAGCTTCCAAAAACGATGCCGTCATACACCACGGTTATTACCAATGGGTGCCCTTTGTCCTGTTCTTCCAGGCGCTCTTCTTTTACTTGCCGCACTATCTCTGGCGGAAAATGGAAGGTTTTTACCAGCACGCGTACTCGTAGACGTATCGCGCGACGTTTATGACCGCGCGCGTTTATCTCAAGCGGCGAGCTAATCATCATTAATCTTTTCTCGCCGTCATGATCTAATCTTATATCACCTGCGCACGGTGTCCCACTTACAACGTAACATTACGCTATTTTCAAAATTACTTTGTAACGCCGGTGAATGGTAATTCGTGCAACGGAGGCGGCCCGAGTCGAAAGTTCGGCTCTATGCTAAACCTTTAATTCTATATTATACAGAGTGAGGTAAAAGCATAAAAACCTCTAAATTTTTCGCTTTACAACTACGCACGTTAGAAACAAATGTTTGAGACAAAAGTTATATGGTTTCAAGGGGGACATAAGATGGTGTCATTAATTTGATCTTGAATAGTTGCTTGAAGGTCACGTGAAGGTCACCTTGAATTTTTTAAACGAAAACCTCCATTTCTTATTATATCATCTTTTTATATTAATTAATTGGAACAACTTTTGTCTGAAACATCTTTGATTTGTCTAATATTTTTCGAAATATTTAAAGAAAACTTAGCAACTTTTTCAATAATCATCATACGATATCTCGATAACTATTTATCGCGAGGAAAAATGATACAGGATTTTTTTTACTTAATTTGGCGTCAAGAATATTCTGTTGCAAAAATATCGAGTATTCCTCGATATTCTTGGATATATAAGTATATTCGGACAATATCTACATCCGCGACTCGGAATGTCGGTCGAGCGATCGTTGCGAGCAGCATCGCGAAAACCGCACACCATTGTACTCCTCTCTAACTGCAATTTTTTAAATTTCAGGCGGACGTTTAAGCATGCTAGTATCAGGATTGCACATGGCATCCTTGTTACTGAGTGAAACGGAGATCAAGATAAACGATGATATGAAGGTACCGTCGCGAAAAGATCGCGACGAGAAGGTGCAGCAGATTCGCACCGGCTTTATAAACCGCTTGCACTTAAATCGTCCGTGGGCGTACAGTCTGATTTTTTGCGAGCTCTTGAATTTCCTAAATGTGTTCGTGCAAATTTACTTGACCAACTGGTTCCTCGGAGGAGCTTTCTGGAATCTCGGCCGATTGGTCTCCGTGCCGGCTACATCTAAGGATGAAGTACACCCACTCGACGTAATATTCCCAAAGGTATAATTTCGATGTGTCGCCACTTTTATATGCTACACAATATTGTTATTAAAACAGATGTTGCTTCTAACAACACCATAGTATAAATTATATGATATTTTGGTAATATCGATAGCTGTGTTTGCGCGTCAGTGACGATCAATGCTATATAAATTATTATCAAATTATTAGTATTAGATTATTATTTGATTATTACAATTGATTATTATTTGAATTTATTGTAATCCATACATTACTGTAGTCTGATGTAATCATTAATCTATAATATTATTATGCAACCTTATAAATCCGTTCGACAAAATTTTTCGAACGTTTTATCGACTGTCGGAATTAATAAAGTCTAACTGTTCCATCTCTCTTTCAAAATTTCTTCGATTAATTTTTCTCAGCATTATCTCAACTTTGACTATTACAACGTTTTGTTCTCAGCGATTGGTCGCTGTATATTTTTCAGCCAACTAACGTAATTGCATTTATGAATGTAAAACCATGTTTTCAGGTAACCAAATGCACTTTCCATAAGTACGGCCACTCTGGTACTATACAAAAGCACGACGCGCTGTGTGTGATGGCACTGAATATCGTTAACGAGAAGATCTATACGTTCCTTTGGTTCTGGTTCTTCGTGCTCTTAGTGATAACCGGTTTGGGATTGATTTGGAGACTACTCACCATGATCCTTCACTCGAGGTTACTACATTCGGTCTTCACATATTTTTCCGTCGTCAGCGCGTTACGTTTCGTGGCTTCGCCGAGTCTCATCGGCTGCTCGCGCTCATCGGTTTCTCTCTTGAGAATTCTCGCTTGACGAATTTACAAGGACCGTACATCATTCGCGTTGCTTGCAAAAGTAATCTCGATGCAAAACTAGTGCTTACATCTCGCGATTTCGTTGCGGTTTGCTATCTTTTCCGCAACGTAGAGTATCCGTCTGTATCTCGGAAAAATCTATTGCTATCTTTATTTATGAAATACTATTTAATAGCTTATCTACTAGTGGCGAGCGTGGCGCAGAGAAATGTGCGCTACTTATAGTAAACACATGAACGAGAAGAGCCGAGTTTAAATCCACGAACACCGCTGATTTTTTTCGAACGTTACCTCTCGAAGGGAACGTAATCGCCAACATATAAGTCGGCATTATAGGAGTGGTGTTGAAGTGCGTCCATATCATGCCATCTTGTTGCTCGATTTGTTCGAGTATAGGCACATTTGACAGTGCCCTGTATTCTTGATGACGCATGGCGGAGATATTGAAGGTGGCTTTAAACGCTGGCTCGTCCCAACACGGAAACATTATTTGGAGCCTAGACACCTTACGACCGTCCTATACATACTTTACTAAATTATATATAGGGCGGTCGTAACGTGTCTTGCGCAAAATAAGACCAAACGAATATTTTTATATAAGACACAAGAGCTTAGAGAATATTAATTTGTAGTAAACTTTGAAGTAAATTATAATGCTAAGTTCATAATATTAGTCGGTAAAAACGCGAGCTAACGTGTAATATTGTTGTTACATTTCACATTACATTTCACAATATCGCTTGCCCGTAAGGCTCGACGGTTATACGTCAGCGAGGTCTAAGCAAATGCCTACTTAAAAATATCAAATGACGTAGGAAATGATATACCCGAGAGACTAACAGTGACGTTAATGCACCGCGATAAGGGCCCTCTAATATAAAAATGACGACAGGCCACGATTGCGATGCCGCGGGCGACTTTCATTGCGGTTTTTCCCTTGCAGGAGTACGTCATTCAACAAGCTCGTGTTCTCCATAGCATGCCCTGGAAAGTACAATCCGTGGAACGTACTCAAGGTCACTCACGAGTACTACTTCGGTGACTGGCTGTTTCTCTATTACATCGCAAAGAATCTGGACAACTATGTGTTCAAGGAACTGCTTCAGAGTTTGGCGGAGGATCTCGAGAACAGACGTCACGCGCGTTACAAAATCTTGCCGCTAGAAGTGGAGCAAGAGTTGATGAAGAAGCAAGAATGGCAAAATGACGCTAAGACTCCCATAAGTCCCTGAACATAAATGTAAATGTAAAATCCACCGTCCATTTTTTTTTAGAGGAATTCATATATTGTCTCAAGGGGATGCTGGAGTGAGTAATTCTGCACCTGTTGCACTTTTTGCATGTAGAACTGTACAGACCGACTAGTTTCCGCTAATGGTATCGTTGAAATGAAGCTCAGGAGTCTAGCAAAAAATCTTGAAATTCCGTGAGAAAGCCAATAACAGTTTAACAGATAAATATCAGATAAATCTGCTCCAATTGCGCGCGATTTTATGACAGCGCGACGATCATCGGCGTAAAGTTTACGCCATCGAAATCTGAGATCGCTATCTCGCGTGCGAAGTAATGAAGCAGACAGCGGGAAAGCTATGTCGCGCGCCCACACGGGCGAACAATCGCGTGCGCGTTCGCACGCGTATTATAACACTGCCAAATTGCCTCTTTATGTATAAACGTACGATACTTCAGCCGCGATTTACTACGATTGTAAAATAATGCGTCTCGCGTGCGTCGGCGGGGTCGCGCATTTGTAGCCGCGCGCGCGCGCCACACATGACATAACTGCCCAGTCGATCGTCTTTTAACTACCTCGTACGGAGGACTCGCGTGTGCGTTACGTGCGATCGTATGTCGAGCACATGCGCGTGCAAGCCGGCATACGTGTAAACACGTCCGTGCGTTGGACCGACCCGATAAACGGGCCTGACAATAGTTCGGATCGTTAAGTCGTTAAGGCCTGGTGATTGGAATCGCGCCGTGACCTAGTATCGAACATTCAATACATTTGGATTTTATGGCGCGCCGTGAGATTTATCACCGCTCGCGTATCTCGTATCGGTCGCTCTCGAAAATATCGACTCGACAAAAGGCCCGTGTATTTATTACCTTCTACCGAAAATATGCAGGGTGTCCCAGGAGGAAAGGTCAATACTCTGAGGGGGTATAGTATCGGTCATTTTAAGCAAAAATGTTCATGTGAATATGTGTCCTATTCCCCACTGTTTCCGAGATAGAGCTACTTGAATGTACAGTTGCAAAATTACCGACAAGAAAGAAATACCACGTACCATTTCTAATATTTATTGTTCAAGTGATACACTTTTTACAGGTCGTAATAAATCTTCAAAAATTGCACCGTTAAAGTGCATTTTTCAACTCTCGTGTGAACATGGCGTGTTGCTCGTCCGAGTACATCGTGACGTTCCTTTATACGGGCACTGGCGTCCATTATTTGATCCGAATTTATTAGCATCCATTGATTGATTTGAATTTATTACGATCTGTAAAAAGTGTATCACTTAAACCAAAAACATTAGAAATAGTACGTAGTACTTCTTTCTTGTCGGTAATTTTGTAACTGTATGTACCTACATTCAAATAGCTCTATCTCGGAAACAGTGGGGAATGGGACGTACATTTATATGAACATTTTTACTTAAAATGACCGATACTATCACCTCCCAGAATATTGACCTTTCTTCCTGGAACACCCTGTATGTCTTATATTCGCTTTTTATAATTTATGAAAGAGATTTATAATGTGTCCTCGCGATTATAAATCTCTTCGCGAGAGAACTTCATCGAAATCGTCAGTACTTTCATCCTTAAAATTTATGTAGCACTGTATGCGTTTTTTTTTTAAATAATTGCATAACCGATTGATACAAATTACATTTAAATATTTTTTTAACGTTGTACGTTACAATAAAAACACATAGCATTTACGTAATGTATAGATTTATATAAGATGCAGATTTTGTCAATAAATATTTACAATAAGTGCATAGAGATACAGAAACGGACAAATATTCGCAACGATTCTGAATGTGAATACGCTGGAATCGTGACTGGGTCACGAGGCGCGAGATCTTTTCATGCAGAAGTTCTTCAACGAGACGCTTAGAGCTCTCGTTTACAGGGGGCTTTTGTCTTTGTGCGGATGCGTACCGAGAAACCCGAGAGTCCGGGTCGGCAAGCTGGAATCATCGCGGCCGGAACTCAGTCCATTATGCTCTCTCGGTTGGGAAACGAGAGACGACGAGGGCAGAAAAAGAGAAGCGTTGCCTTGTTGCCCGCGTGTCGGCGCACTTGGACTTCAGACCGATCGGACTGGCAAAAGGCCGCTTATTTCCTTTGTTCTGGCGACATTCTCGCGTCAAACCCGGACGGATCGAGCCGGCAAGACCGATCGATCGTCACGATATCCGTAGCGGGTGCTGCGGAAACAACGGGTGCCTCTATAACCGGACTTATCTCGCGCCTAAGCGAACGCAGCATGCATGCCCGTACGAGCCCTTCCGAGGTAATGGAAAATCAACATGAGGACAGTTGAGATCGACCCTGCCATTAATAGTTTAACGGCATATTTTTTTTTATTTTTTAACTTTAATTTGATTTATGCTGCATAAAGATACAGTGTAGTGGAAATAGAGTAGCGAGAGACGGTAAAGCAAACGGTGAGACAGCAACAAAATCGTTGTTGCAAAGCCTACCAGTTTAATTGGGGCAAGAAAAATGAGCAAAACTTCTTTTCGCTTTTATTTAAAATGATTACATCTATCTCTCGTAGAGGAAATGTACGGAAAGACTCGGACGTTTCGTCGAGTCAGAGTCCCATTAGTCCGAGAATTAACATTAGCGGATGTTGAATTTCCGGGTGTTGAAGATAATTTTTCGAGGTTCTCCCCTTACAAACGCAATTATGTGAGAAATTGTTAAAAAGAGAACAACCTCGTTCGAAATTATAATTTATAACTTGTAGAGGATATAGTATTTTTTAAACATACAATTAAAACAATTGTTACATAATTATTTGGAATTGAATATTCCGATAAAAAATAATTTCACGTTTCTGTATAAATGTGCCTCACTTTTCCTTCCAGTCTATCTAATTTTAATTTTAATTATACGATTTCAATGCCGCAGCCAGTTCCGAGAGACAAACAGCCTCTTCGCTCCGACAGTTATTGCCACTTTCTGTATGTAATAATGTATATTTTATGACGTTGCGATTTGTTTGAGCTTGAAACACTAACTCATATGCGATAACTTCACCTCACCGAATATTCAAAACGTTCTAAAACTGACGCGTCCTTTGGTTTTCTTAAGAGGGAAGAAAATCGTCGAAAACGAGGAGAGGCGCACTTGAGAAATCTGGAAAACATCTGTGCACAAGTGTTCGACTGCGTTAAGCCCATAGCGACTGAAAGACCCAGGATGGTTTGGAAGGATATTTTCTTATCGTTTTCAGGTTTCTATTGTATTATAGTTACATAAATCTTCCTTCATTCTAACGTACTTTACGACCTTCGCAGTGAAACAGCAATGTACAGGACGTGTTTTTTGTAGGTCGAGCACGTAGAATATTTCAAAACGTATAAGTTCCAGAAGAAAAAACTTCTCCGACCAAAGTTGTGGGGCTTCAAGTAGCATTCCATAGCAATATCAGTGTGATCTTGAATGGCGTTGTCAAGATCACGTGAAGGCCATCATAAATTTCATAAATAGAACCCACTATTGTTTAGTACACTATCTTATAATACTAATTAATATGAACAACTTTTGTCTGAAACGTTGTTCGATTTGCCTAATACTTTTTGAGAAGTCTCAAAAGGCTCCTTTACAAGGGTGGCCTTCCGACGGCGGATTACGTTTGCGTATGCAGCCGCAGTGAATAGGATGCCGATCGCGTGCGAGAGTCGAGTGTCGAGCGCGTGGATGCAATGCAGAACGCGGCTCATTTTTCGTCGGGCGATTACTTACTACACATCCACCGGATCTTCGTGAGAAAATTCAGATGCATTCGCGCGATACCGGCGCAAGGGCGCGCGCAATATTTGCATGCCGAGGGCAGCGCAAATCGTCTTCGCGTAAATCTGATGATAAAAATCTACGCTTCAGACGGATGTTGGTAGGAGTCGCGCGGAACGACGCTGCGTGTTGCGCATTCCAGCGCGTCGTAACTCTGGAGGATGCTTCCGTTTATCTTGCAAAAAAAAACGCGCTCGCTCGTAGGGAGACACGCTAACGTAAATAGATACGTTCTTCGAGAGAGATCCGTTTCACAATTAGTCGCCTTGTGAATGAGTCGTCACGATCCATAAATGTCGATTCGCGGGAGTTTTCAGCCGGAGGCTGAACGGGCGCAGTCAGATACGTTCGAAGAAATTTCTCGATCGGGCAATACGCAATCTTTCGCGGTGACGTACATAGGTACGTCTTTTCTTACCGCGCGCGGTAATGCAACGAACATTGAGAGTCCTCATAACACGAGCAACAGGTTGCTCTTAATCTATCTAGGACGTCATATGGATGGTGTGGCATTGTACGTTACTTCGTGCATATATTTCTTTTTTTTTTCTAGATGTTGAGAAGCGACACTTTGTGGCGCGACATTTAAGCCTGGGTGACTTTCTCGGAAATGTTCGGAATGGATTACGATCGGAATCGTTCGACTATTTCCTAGATTTCTATTGTGCTTTCTACACGGAGAGAATTTTCTCTTAACATTTGCCCTAAAAAATCATGAAATCGTGGGACAACATGGCATTTCGAAGAGTTTTTGGGAAATTTTACTATTCATTTCACTAGTAGAATGTATGGAAAAAGTTGAAAAAACTCTCACGAAGGTCTTTAAAATACAATGTTGTCCCACGATTACATGATTTTCACGCAAATTTTAAGAGAAGATTCTCTCAGTGTAGGAAAAACGAAATACTTTCGATCCATTTCGAACATTTCCATGATAGATACCTCTGATCTGCAATGTGCTCTTTGCGTCTGGAAACATTTTATTTTGTATAAGCACATCAAAACGCTCTTAAAAAATTGGTCGACGATGTACAATTGTATAATGTTACAATTGTACAATTACTATTGTCAGGGTTGGGAAAGTTACTTTATGTTAAACAGACGAATTTAATTAACAGCAATATGAAATATATGTAGAATTAAACCATAAAAAAAATTAAATGTATTAAACAAATATATATATTAAATGTATAAAAAAAAGATGCCAACAGTACGCGGTGTTCCCAAACGGTCACCCATTTAAGTACTAACCGCGCTCAACGTTGCTTGACTGAAGTGATCGGACGAGAACTTGTAGGTTCAACGTGATTTGACCGTTGGCGAAAGAATTCTCTTCGAAAAAGAGATTTGAGATGTAAACTTCTTTTTCAGTCTTTATATTACATTATTATATTTTTAAATAAATATATAATTTTAAATAATTTTTCAGTGTAATTGTCGATAAACTGACGCAGAACACAGGTTTGAAGGCGGCAGCGTAATAGCCGATCTTTTCAGCCTTAGGTCAAAATACGCTTTCCAAACGTCATACGGGCAACAGAGGGAAACCGTCGCTGCATGAATTATCGTTACAAGCGACACGATTGAGTCACGACGGTTCTCAATTTCGTGGCCCTCCCGCAAACCGGTCCGTCGGCCTTTGGTGGCGCTCGGGAGATTGGAATGCGCGGGGTCCCACGTGCGCGGGAAGGAATTACGGTCGCGAAGTACCTCGCCGGACAACGTACCGAAAGCGAATGTAAGAAAAAAAAATGGACACGAGTGAAAGGTCCGCCGAGGTAAAGGAACTTGACGATCCATAAAAAAAGGCGGTCGTGCGTAATTATTTCTATTTATTTCAGATAAGGCAATCGATCCTGTCCGTTCACTCGTACGCGGACTGTTGGGCAATCGGTGCGTGTAAAGAGTTAACAAAAGTTGCGAACGAAAAAATTGCGCGTCGCGTTTCTCCGAAGTAACGATCCAGACAATCTTCGTGACCCAAACCGAGGAGACTTGTACGCTGTAAAAAAAAGTCTTTCAATCCCTAGTATGCACAGTGCATTGGCTAAACATTGGCCCGATGCAATTAAATATTAGGCCAATGTTTAACCAATGTTTGACACTGTGCTACTACACTGATAAGAAAAATATCTTAACCCAAAAAAAAATATTA